TGGCCCGTCTTGTGTGAGCTTTTTTGTATAAGGGTTTTGTTTTTTGGGCATAAGAGTCTATAGACGACGGTTTTTGACCAATCCTGAAATCTTCTAAGTTCTTTAGTCTTCAGCAGAGGCAAGAATATGATGCCTTCCACATTCCAGCCGAGTTTTGCATTTGCCTTTGTTATTTAAATGACTCATTTTAATATTTGATAAAATAAATTTGGAGACTTTGGAAAGCCATGGGGTGAGACTGCCCATCAGTATTGCTATTTTCCACCAGAATCAGGGTCTCTCACTCAAAGCAAATAGTCCTGCCTATCCTCTGAACGGACAAGCCTGGAGGCATCTTTAAATCTCTTACTGTAACTACAGGTGATTGTGATGGTATAAGGATTTGGAACAACAGGGTTGAAGAAACCCATCGCAGAGAAGACTTCCAATTATCAAGATATAGGTTTTCTGTTTTTTGAGACAAGCTTTATATTTTTAGTAGAGACGGGATTTCACCATGTTGGCCAGGCTGTACTTGAACTCGTGACCTCAGGTGATCCGCCCACTCGCCCTCCCGAAGTGCTGAGATTACAGGATGAGCCACCACACCTGGCCTCAAGTATAGTTTTAAATTTACTCTGGCTCTTTTCTTCTTTTCCTTTTCTTTCTTTCTTTTCTTTTTTTTTTTCTTTTTTTTTGAAGGGAGTCTTGTTCTTTTGAAGGGGGCCTGCCCCTCCACACCTGTGGGCGTTTCTCATTAGGTGGAAAAGGAGACTTGAGAAAAGAAATGAGACACAAAGTATAAGAAAGAAAAAAAGTGGGCCCAGGGACCGCGCTCAGCACACAGAGAGAGCCGCGCACGGTCTCTGAGTTCCCTCAGTATTTATTGATCATTATCTTTACCATCTTAAAGATAAGGGAGTGGCAGGAAAATAGGATCATGGTAGGGGGGAAATTAGTAGTAAGACAATTGAATAAAGATCTCTGTGACAGAATAAGTTCAAAGAAAATGCTGTGCCTTGAGATGCATGTGAAACATCCCCATAAACCTGTTAGCAGCATTGTTTCAGATTATCACATTGAGGAAAAGCTTGGACAATCTAGCTTCCTCTAGGCAGAGGTCCCTGCACTTTGGCCGTGTAGGTGTCCCTGGGTAGTTGAGATTAAGAGAATGGTGATGACTTTTAAGCAGTAAGCTGTCTTCAGCACTTGTTAAGGAAGCACATCCGCACAGCCCAAAATCCATTAAGCCTTGAGTCACCACAGCACATGTCTCTTGCAAGGACAAGATTGGGGGTAGGGTCACAGATTAACAGCATCTCAAATCAGAACAAAATGGAGTCTCTTATGTCTACTTCTTTCTATAGACACAGTAACAGGCTGATCTCTCTTTCTTTTCCCCACACTCTGTCGCCCAGGCTGGAGGGCAGTGGCATAATCTCGGCTCCTGCAACCTCCGCCTCCCAGGTCACGCCATTCTCCTGCTTCAGCCTCCTTAGTAGCTGGGACTACAGGCACCCGCCACCGTGCCTGGCTAATTTTTTTTATTTTTGGTAGAGGCAGGTTTCACCGTGTTAGCCAGGATGGTCTCGATTTCCTGACCTCGTGATCCGCCCTCCTCAGCCTCCCAAAGTGTGGATTCCAGGCGTGAGCCTGCCTACTCTTGGCTTTTAAAAGAATGGGCAGATTGCTTTTTCTTTACTACTTCTATCCTTTTCTCTCTCTCTTTGACACTGTCTCTCTCTCACTTTCTCTGTTCCCTCTATCAGTGTTTCTCTTTCCTCGAAGATGTTTTTTTCCTGTCTCTTAGAATCTCTTCTATAGGTTTGTTTTTCTAGCTCTCCTTTTCCCTTTTG